TCATGTTGAAGGATTCGTGCTTCTTCTGTTTCATTTGAGCCAGCATAAGGTGCAAGCCGATTTATGTGAACTACTTTTGGTTTACCTTTCGGTAACTTTTTAATTCGGTATATTACGTCATTTATTCTCTTTTTAATTTCATACGGACCCTCCCATTGTCTTTGCAGTTTAGGAGACAAGCCACGACGACGTTGTGGATTATAAAGCCAAACAAGATCACCTACTTTATAGCTTTCATTTTTTGCATCGAGAATCATATTGATCTTTCATTCTGTCACTGGCTAACTGGATGTGTTGTCGGGCAAGTTTATGAATGTTGTTCATTCTTAACTTCAGGCGATCGACATAATCTTCGCTTGCAACATATTCTTCGGAAGGTCTGCAGCCAAACTCTAGGTCGCAGGGCAAACGAACTTCACGACCTAACATCAGGCAGGTTGGAGTCTGGCCTGTAGTTTCATTCACGGCCGAGCGGTATGCCATTAAGAATAAATGAATGTGCTGATCCCAATCTCTTTGATGTTTTGATACAACTTTGGACAGGTGTTTACCCATCGTTCGGTTCATTCTCTCGACCATTCCATCTGATTGAGGATGCAGGGGTGTCGTTCTGGTCTTATTGACACCAATCAATTTACAAACGTTTTGGAAAAGGTTTGACTCGAAGTTTCGCCCTTGGTCATTTGTAAGCCATTTGTAGTGTTCGAAAGCTCTCTGGCACTCTTCGCTCCATGTATATTCTTTGCCTTCTTCTGTCAACTTTGTTAATGGCTTGGAGATGTTGGCAAATCCTTTGACAAAACGTCGGTAATATGTACAAAGGCCAAGAAAACTTCTAATTTCGTGTTTATCTCTTGGTACTGGCCAATCCTTAATTGCTGCAAGTTTTTCAGGATCAGCTGTTACTCCATTACTTGCTACAATATGTCTTAAGTACTTCACTTCTCGTCGAAACAAGTGACATTTCTTCGGACTCAACTTCAAATTCGCTGCCCGCAATCGTTGAAAGACTTCGGTCAGATTATTGGCATGTTCATCGAAGGATCTTCCAACTACAATTACATCATCCAAATAAACCAGGCATGTTTTTCATGTTAGACCTCTTAAAACTGCCTCCATTAATCTTTCAAATGTGGCTGGAGCATTACATAAACCAAAGGGCGTAACTGTGAACTGCCAAAGCCCTGATCCTATCGAGAATGCGGTTTTCTCACGATCAGCTGGCTCCATGTCTACTTGCCAATATCCACTTTTCAGATCGAGTGTGGAAAACCAACGAGAACCAGAAAGTGTATCCAAAGTATCGTCTATTCTGGGCAAAGGATAACTATCTTTTTTAGTTACCGAATTGAGCTGTCGGTAGTCAATACAAAAACGTGTTGAACCATCTTTCTTCTTTACTAGCACTACTGGTGATGTCCATGGACTGTTTGATGGTTCAATTACCCCTTGTTTGCTCATATCTTTGATGATGTCTTCGGCTTCATCTCTTTTCGCAAATGGAAGTCGTCTAGGTTGTTGTCTGATTGGCTGAGCGTCTCCGGTATTAATTTTGTGCTTTACTATGCTTGTTTTGCCATTATCCTTCTTATCAATGGCAAAAACATCTTGAAATTCTATTAGCATAGACTTTACTTTTTTAGTTCGTTCATCATCAAGATCTTGGCACGTTTTAATTATCGTCTCAACCAAGCTCCTTTGGATACTTAGATTTCGACGTTTTCTCATTAGTACTCATGGAACAAATCGAAGCCACGGGAACACACTGTCCGATCAAAGTTCTTTTACTTAACTTAATAGCAGTTCCCTTTAAATTCATAACTCTTACAGGAACGACATCTCGAATTCTCACCAAAGCTTTTGCCGTTAGGAACTCGGCATTGTTCACCTCTTCGACCATCCTTAAACTTCCCTCTCGGCAGTAACCATCAGGTCTGGTCATCAAAATTTTCTCACTATTACCGGGTATTGTTACGTCGCAAGTAGTTATTAAGCTGATAACATCTTCTTTCTCTTCATGAAACGGCAACTCTTCACCACTGATCTCGAGAACTCCATCTTTGACATTCAATACAGCCCCAACTTTCCTTAGTAAATCCATCCCCAATATGAACTCATCGGAGATCTCTGCAATTAATACTCTATGTTTCACTGTGGTCTGGCCAATGGATACTGACATATTAGCCTCGCCATATGTATTAATTATCTCACCAGTTGCTGTTCTAAGCTTTACTGTTGCAGGCGATAATTTAAGATGGTCTCGTACTACTTCTACCAAAGCAACATCTACCAAAGCTACTTTTACAACATCTACCAAAGCAACAAAATGAAAGTCAGAATAAATCGACAACTTACAGAACATATAGATATAGGCAGCTGAATAAGACAGGGGGAGCCATTGAGCCCTATGCTTTTCAATTGAATCATACATAAAATCGTAAAAAGTGTCAACAAAGAAAGAAAATGGAAAACAAAGAAGTAAAAATACTCTGTTACACTAACAATGCAATATTACTAGCCGAAGATGAAAATAGTCTACAAAGACTAGCTCATGTAGATTTCACATAAGAATAAAAAGCTTTAATAAGACAAATTTAACTCAGAGAACTAAAATAATAGTAATTACCAAAGAACAAATCACATGTAAAATAGAAATCGATAGCATCAGTATTAAACAAATGATGGAAATAATATACCATGGAACTACTTCTCTTCTTCTTCTTCATGTACCATGTCCTTTCAGAACGTTGGTTACCATCATAGCTATTTTAATTTTATTCACTGCGACCCTAAATAGCATGCTTGTATCTACACCATACCAATCTCGCAAGTTCTTCAACCATGAGGTTTTTCTTCGTCCTGGACTGCGTTTGCCTGCTATTTTTCCTTGCATGATATTTTGTAGCAGTCTATATTTGGGACCTCTCATTACATGTCCGAAATATTCCAGCTTTCTCTGCTTGATGCTTTTTATGATCTCAGTAGTCTTGCTGAGACGTTCAAGTATTGTGGAGTTACGAATCTTCTCCACCCAGGAAACTTTTAAAATTCTTCTATAGCACCACATTTCGAAAGCCTCAAGGCGATTTAGATCGATTTTATTCACAGTCCAGGACTCGACAGCATAAAGTAAGACCGAGAACACGTAGCAGCGAAGTAGGCGGATCCTTAATGCCAATTTTAGGTCTTTGTTACATAACACCTTGGACATCCTTCTAAAAGCAGCTCTAGCCTGCTCTATTCTGGATCTAATTTCGCCGTAATTTTCTGCATTACAATTTAATTGCTGTCCAAGGTAGACGATTTTATCAACTTGCTCAAGTTTGGTATTATTTACATATATAGACGGTTTTATATTCTGTTGTTTACTTATTACAAGTATTTTGGTTTTCCTTATGTTAAGATCCAGACCTGCCTCCCTACAACTCTCAACGACACTATCAAGTAGTGTTTGCAGATCTTCTTGACTAGAAGCTAGGAGTACTGTATCGTCCTCATATCGCAAATTATTGATGACTTCGCCGTTCACAAGTATTCCTTCTTATTTTTCAGAAAGTGCTTTTCTGAAAATTCTTTCGGAGTAAACGTTAAAAAGCAGGGGTGACAAGAGGCATCCCTGCCGTACTCCTCTTTTAATATTGAGAGCTTGTGATTCCACACCATCTACTTAAACTGATGTTGTTTGATTCCAATATAAATTTGCAATTATTCGAACATCTCTGCCGTCCAAGCCAATGTCTTTTAGAGCTTCGATCAATATAGAGTGCTTAACACGATCAAATGCCTTTTGAAAGTCAATAAAACAACAGTATATGTCTACAGATATATCACGACATCTTTGAGCAAGTACGTTCATTCCAAACAGGGAACTACACTGTTCAGCTATGGAGACCTGGACAAAGAAGTAAGAGATTTTGTACAAAAAGCAAATAGACTGACTGGATATATTAATATCACTATATGGCAAAACCATTCAGATGAAGTCAAAAATAATATAGCCAGTGTAAAACCAATAATGACATATGTATCAGAAATAAGTCTGACACAACCACAACACAAAGATTACTGGAAATGGCAGAGATGGTACTGAAAGTAATTACAGGATATACTCTAAGGAATCGAAAGGGAAGTGAAAAATAAAGACACTAAACAGAAAAAGGAACGAAATAACCACATTAGCAGAAAGGAGAAATCCACGTGGTCAAAATAGCAAGAGATAAATCACCAATGGGTAGAAGTATCAACCGACCGCACAAGAGATAGAGTGACAATCTTCCATAGAGGTATGAATCCACCAATAAACAAGCAGAATTGCTTACAAAGAAGAAAACGTGTTGCTTCAGATATAATACAATGCCAATTATGTTCTATTATTTTTAAAAATTTTGTACCTTCAACAATTTGACCTATTGTAAATTATAAGTATGTTTTCGAACGCCACTGCTCTGATGGGTTACGTATTACTGTTCCGAAAAATTCTCGCTAATGCATTTGAAACTGACTGTACTTGGACTAAATAAAATAGCAAAAGTAAGTAAATTTAAATATTCGGTCTATCTAATAAAAGAACAAACTATACATTTCTGAAAAATATAATGCAAGGTATAATCTTAACACGAAGAAATCTGGGGCGCCGAAGAATATTCTGGATAATAAACTTAAGGAATTGGTCTGGTAGCACAACTAACGAGGTGCTTAGCTTAGTGCAGCTGTAAATAATGTTAGAATAGCCTTAATGATATTCAGTATATGACAGGAGAAGAATATAAAAAAGACAAGAATATCAGTAGTTTTATGTATGCGGTTGTAACGAATAATATTCCCGGGTATCTTGGAGTTTCGTAACCTTTAAATTCGTATTGTGGAAAAATTATTCAATTTTCACAACGCAACGTATAGTATCACGTCTTAACCAATGTGTGCTTTTGTTTAATAATACTTTAGCATTTATGTATTTATAATATTTATAAAACGCCTAATTTAATATTTTTCTGTTTTAGATTTTAAAAGGGGGATATACATTCATTGTATTTTACAACTTTTAATGCCCAAATGAAAAATAACGGAAAAAGTGAATTTGCACTTCAAACTTTGCACCTGATATTAGTAACTAACGTTATAAATGCACCATTGAGCATCATAATATTTTTACTATTAGAGTAATAGTTAATATTAAATAAATTATTATATTATTAGAGTAATATCACATACTGAGAATAATTAATAGCCTAGAGCACGTTGTTTAATAATTTTAAATAATATAATAGAGTTAGATACAAGGAGTTTACTGTTTATTATTTCTAGCTTATTAAAACCCTTTAACGCTTAGTGACTACAATTGATAAAAACTGAATGCATATATTTTTCTCTTATAATAATAATAATAACATTATTTTAATAAGAAATGGACTTGGATACGCAAATAAGACTATTTTCTCCTGAAAATATGACTTTACTTTTTAATAATACGACAAAAGAGGGTGGCTAATAATTTAGCCACCTAACGTTCCTGACCACGACCAACGCTCGTGAATAGTGGCTAAAAAGGTGGACACAAATAAATATACACACAAATAATTTATGTTGTTTCTATTTAACTAATTTAGCAGGCTACAACTTTAATAAAAAGGATATTCTAAGTAAAATTTCAGAATAAAAGAAATACTATTAGGTGTTAACAACACTTTTAATTTTTTTTTAATTTAGTTTTTATGAAAAGGATTAAAACATTGTATACAAAGAGCAACTTTGCGTGCTGTACACTGTATACCGGATCTTTTTACACTTTTTTTAGTGTTACAAAAAGCACATCTATTGCATTTACGTTTTTCAGGTAAATGTTGGCCATCATTGGAAATAACTTTATGTCTATTATATGTCCTTCCAGTTTTTTTCTTTGTTACAGTGACACCTTCAGTTTTTCTTCGAGACTTCTTCCTATTCGTAAAGTTTCCTATTAATTGGCTAGCTCACATATTCCTTAAGATTAATTGAGACATGGGTTTTCCAATTAGTGATTATAGTTATATTGTCATCTTGTATAAACTAAAAGAATTAATTATTGCACTATCCACCAAATCAAAAATATTTTCAACCACCATCTCCTAGATTTCCATGAAATAGAATATCAAGCCATTGGCTAATCAACTAGATCTATTTCACCCATGTTCAGATTGTAATAGGCAATAATTTGTCGACATAGAACCTGTTCTTTAGTGCCGGTTTTATTAGTTCTCTGTATCGTTGCTTTAGTTGTGGGTTTATGTATATTAGATGCCATTACTACACATTTTTTTCTCTATCTCGCCATTTTGTGAGTAATATCTGGGTAGACATGGTGTAATCATCTTCACCATATTTCAATTTTTTATCTGAATACAATACATATTTAGGGAGTACCGTCCTGAATAAGGTACAACATACCACGTTTAAAGCTGTCCAAAAATAAAATTATTTTGAATGGTAAATTAGCTTTCAAAAATTGTTATTTCATCTGTTCATAAAGTTATAGTGCTCACAATATAGACTGACGTGAGTACTCAAAATTACATTAGTATAAACAATATTATCAGAAATATAACCTGCAAAATACAGAAAGATAAAACAACTTTGGTTCTGGATCCGGAACGACAACCAGCTTTCAAACTGGTGACAGAGCCGGACTTGCGGCATCTTAAAATATCATGACTTTAAACGACATAACTTTAAATAACACTACCTTAATCAACACGAATCAAACACAAACCTCATTTTTAAATTTATATTCTAGTGTAGTAAATTCTTTTAAACACCCAACAAAAGAACAGGCTATTATCCTGTCTAGTATGGAAGATACCAAAATTCACGACTAGGATCACTAGTAGAACCACCTAATGTCATCTTCGCATCAAGAATTTTTAACAACCGAATTTGTATTTATCTTTTCTCAAAAAGCACGGTCAACTCACTTCTCCACTCCTACAAGTTTGTATACATAAAGGAGTCACAAATAGAAATAAGAAGATTGATCACTCCAGCCGATAGACTTATAGTATTTAATGCACGCCCTACAATTCCTAACAACAAGATGACTATCTTAAGAATAGGTATGACACAAAGAGAATACAGCCATGTCCTTAGTTCTAGAAGGCAAATATTTATCACTCCCCTAGAAAATATGTCTATCCCCGGTTATTTTAATGTATCACATGACAACACCGTGTATCGTATGTACCTTTCACTAGATGGATATAACTACTCAAATTATAGAACTATTGGTTATAAAGAAGCAGAACGTCCTCACTGAACTGATTTCACCCCAATAAACCCTTCTCTAGCACCTATTCAACCTAGAACAACAGTTCAGGAATCTAATCAAAAAACAAATTTAACAATGGAAGCGACACTACTCCAGTAACACCCATAACCAACACTACTCAAAACTCTTCCCCCAATACATCATCAGTCTCAAACAGTTTAACCAAAAATTTAGCAGAGGAAACATCTCTACCTTCTATAAACATTGCCAGTAAAACCAATCATGTTAAAAGACAAATATCGTCTTCCCCAGATTTTATTGAAAACAATGCTCAAATTAATACATAACTTTTTATGCCTCCTACTCTAAACAAACCTAAGAAAAAAATCTAAAAAATCAGATAAAACTTCCCGTGAAGAACTCACTCTTTCTCTGGAATCAATAAAGGACAAAATAGAGAACAGATCGCCTGCATTTATTCTAAATTATAATGAGATTTTTATGCTACACTGTGCCGGTGTAGTTTCAAAGAAGGAGGGGTTTTGAATTGAGTAGGGGCTCTTCAGTACTTCTGAGGCAAGAGTGGTACTGAAGTAAAAGTTGGCTAAATTAGCCAACGACATTGAGATGTCAAACGCTCCGGGATGACTACCACATTAAAGATTCATAAGGATATCCCCAGCATACCACAATGGCTGAAAATCTTAAACAAATGGCCCTCAGTCCCGAGCACACCTTAAGTGGAGAGAGGGTGCTAAGAATTTCCCGGTCAGCCAATAATGTCCCAAAAGTTAAAAGCATCGGTACATGGAACATTCGAAACATGTACCAAGCAGGCAAAGCAGCAAATACTATACAAGAAATGACTCACCTGAACATAGATATCTTAGAATGCAGTGAAGTACGATGGCCAAACTCTGTAATAAGAATTATAGATAAACACCATATCTATTATTCTGGAGACGACACAACAAGAAACAGAAATGGCGTAACGATAATAATAAAAAGGGAAATAGCTAAAGCAGTAATAGGATTTACGCCTATATCAGACACAGTTGTGCTATTGAAAATTAACTTAAATCCCTCTAATATAAACATCATTCAGGTGTACGCACCGACATCAGAATCCACTAAAGAAGAAATAGAAAATTTCTATAGGACTATATCAGATAATTTCTAGAAGACTCTCTAAAACTGACCAAAAAACATGAAATTGCTATTATCATGGTAGTTTTAATGCCAAAATAGGACAGTCGAGAACGTCGTGGGGTCATTTATGGTCTTGGCATAAGAAACGAAAGAGGAGAAAGACTAATCCAATTCTGCCAAGAGACGGATATGGTTGTAACGAATACACTTTTTACAGTGGTAACCCACTGAAAACCATACGAAACCAAATTGATTTTATCAACATAAACAAAAGGTTTAGAAATTATATCACCTCAACAAAACATATCCAGGCGCAGATGTCTTCTCAGATCATAGTCTATTGGTTGCAAATATCAACATACGACTCAAAATAATTCATAAGAAAATGAGGCCCAAGATAGATATAAGATTACTAAAAGAAAATGACACCCAGAAAAAAAGTAAAAACAGAAATTATTAAAAATTTTGCGAAAATAGTTGAACACACTACTAGAGGGATAGAAGAACAGTGGACCGAAATAAAGACATATATTACCACAATTTCGCATGAATATCTAAAATAAAAAAGGGAAAAAAAGAAAGAATGGATGGCAGATAAAATATTGCAGATGATAGAAGAGCGAAGAAAACTAAAAGATAGAAATGGCAACGAATATAAAAAGTTGCATAAGACCATACTAAAGAAAATAAAAGGAGCATAAGAAGCATGTCTAACGGAAAAATGTATGGAAGTTGAAACACTACAACGCAAACATCACGATTTCCATATGCACAAAAAAATTGAAGAGATACAGAATATCAGTAAACAACGGAATACCGGCAAAGTTGTAGACATTGAAGACCAAATTTTGACTGCCATTGAAGATAAATTACAAAGATGAAAAGAATATATGCAAGAATTATTCGAAGTTGCAGCACGAAGTTCGACTGAAATAAACAACCCCTATGGCCCAAAAATATCAAACGAAGAAGTAACTATGGGTATTAAGCGGATTAAAGATGGGGGTAAATCACCAGGATGATAAGGTGCATGGTGAAATTTTTAAGCTATTAGAGTCACAACAAATCACAGCTCTTACGAAGCTATTCAACAATATCTACGAGACTGGTTACTTATCCTAAAAACATCAGGACTCGATGGTAAGGATATAAGACTGATCTCAAACTTATATCTCCAACAAAAGGCAACAGTACGATTAGAAAATGAACTGTCCAATATCTTCACAGTCAAAAAAGCAGTTAAACAGGGTTGCATATTGTCACCTGAATGATTTAACATATACTCTGAAAACATCTTTAGAGAGGCCTGGATGAATCAGAAGATGGGAATGCTGTAAATGACCAACCTATAAACAACATTAGATATGCAGACGATACAGTGTTGCTGGCAGGTAGTGCGCAGGGGCTCCAAAGGATGATGGATAACGTTATAGAAACATGTAACAAATACAGTCTAAATTAAATTGCAAGAAGACAAAAATAATGATCATTAGTAAAAACACCGGCATAAACGCCCAAATTACAATTAAAGATACACCGTTAGAAAGAGTGGAAAAAATATGCTATTTGGGCTGCAACATTAAAGATACTTTACATTATAGCTACGAAATAAAAGCTCGTATTGAAAAAGCCAGAAGCTCTTTCAACAGCTTAAGCCAG